TTTAATTTTCTTATGAAAATTTTATATAATAAAATAAAATATAAAATTTTTCTTTCATTATTATTTCCGTTATTTCTCTTGTATTTACCCTTTGCCCGGGTATCAGACCTTGCGACTTCAGGACTTGTACTACGTCACCTAGAAAGGTAAACTTTCGTGCAGACAAAGTCATCCGAGGCGACTGCGGAAGAACTTCCTTTTCCCCAGGGGATTGCTCGAGTATAAGGTGTCTGCGCTATAACCCATTTACAAAGCAAACATGTGTTTTTGTGTTGAGGGTAGACAAGAAGGTCACTCCTAAGGATGGACCAGACAGTGAGAAATTATATCGCGTTACCGAGTATGGCCAGTCATTTCTGCAGTTGGTGACAAATTTAATACTAATTGGTCAAAAGATGTCTGTATAACGTTGTCACGCGTGACGGAGAGACAGTAATAAATCTGGAGAACTGTCAAATTACGTCAACGAAATCTCAGATTTTTTCCACGAGAAATGAGTATAAAAGAGAAACGCTCCACACCTCGAGACGATCGTCAGGGGAAGAAGCTAGGATTCTAACTCCTTCAGCCCCCTCTGCCTTTGGAACCTCGAAGCTTGTGATCGCTGATACAAACAAGGTAAAGACTTACATTATTTTAGCTTCCTTTTCTCTCGGTATAATCGGAACTTCGAAAATATTCGTCACTCGGTATACTCAAAATTTAGAAAATATTCGCTATCTTTTTAGGATAGAACTTAGAAAACTTTCGATAACTATTTTTCTAGGACTTAGAAAATGGAGGACCTTCGGTGGTCCTCCAACGGAAAAAACAAACATCGGTCGTCCGTTATTGTCGCGACTCGTAAGTATTATGATTGTTACTTTCTTATTGTTTAAATTTAATATGTACTCTCATGTATTTATATTTATTGCTTTGTATTAAAGATGTTTGTCTTAAGCTTAACGACTCTTTTTTTGTACGATCGACACCTCTTCACGACTGCACTACCCATCCCACTCAATTAACAAAGCCATTCCTGAAAACGAAGCCGATAAGTGGAGAGAAGCTCTCTGCTTCAATTCCCTCGGTTCACACATATTGGTGTCACGGGAGTGGGATTTTATGTGCCTAAAAATCTCTGTAAACGAATTACACAAATTGGTGTAGCAGGAATAGGGTCTTTGATGAGGTCTATCGGTTGTACAAGAAAAAGCTTTTAATTAAAGTTAGTTTTAAGTCAATAGTAATAAGTAGAGAAATGGCAAAAGGTGGTGAACCTCCTCGTGTGACTCTGGCCGGAAACCCGATAACTTTTAATAGTTTAGGCGGAATGATTCCTTTGTTATTGATATTTTCGGGTGATCTTGCGGGAACAAAGGTCACTGAATTTTTCGATTCTCTTGCCGATGTAACAAAAGTTGCAGCATGGTCCAAGGTGCAAATGCTCGCAGTCGCCAAACTTAAGCTTACTGGAATAGCGCAAGAGTTTGTTAAGAAAAAACGATTAACAGATAAAAGAAGTTGAGGATTTTGATACTTTTAGAAAGGTAATGCTCGAAAGATCTGTACGGGTTTTTTACACGTTAAGATTAAATATATTTTACGCATGTATCCAGCAATGAGGCGAAGATATCCAAGCGTTCGCTGTGCGACTCCGTTCCCTAGCAAGTGAAATAGAGATCGAACAAGTTGGAACAGATGAGACTAAAGTGGCAATAATTAAGAGAGTTCAGGATCGGGAATTGGATGAACGATTGAAAGTGCAGTTTTGTAACGGCCTGGACATAATATTAGGGCAATGCGTCATGTCTAGATAGCCCGATAGTTTCGATAAGGCTCTAAAGGCAGCTATTAGTGAGGAAACGATAGAATCTCTTACCGCACAGCCTCGCGGAATTTTGAGAGCGTTACGGAGATCACTAATCTGGTAGAGGAGAAACAGGGGAAAGGTGGCGCCGTCACGAGGAGAGAAGCAGTGAAAACTTCGAGATCCTCGATTTTTCGTGTTTTTGCTTAAATAAAGTTTTTTTCCACCCGGTTTTTTGTGAATTTCTTAACAGTGTTAGTGATTGTGATCCTATGTATACTAACGTTGTGTTCGTGGACCCATTATTTTTGGAACCGCAAGCATCCAAATTTTGGATTATTTGAACTAATCTTCTGGACCCGTGCGGATCGATTTTCCGGATCAGAAGGTGGCATTGGATAACAATACATACTGTGAGTACAATATCCAAATTTTGTTACAATTGGCTCGGTAGAACTTTAGATTTTGGACGTTTTGTGAGCGGTACTTGATGGCCCGCATCGGGTCTTAAACCAGCCATCCGTTAAAAATTTGACAGCATCGTGAAGAGGACTATAACAGCAAACATCTTTCCAACTTTCATTACTGTATCGCTGATAGAATTTGAATTACGACGATTTTAATTTTATCACTTCATCTGCACTGACCAGCATACAACGGACTTTAACGGCTTTTAACGGTCGTCGGAATTTTGAAATCGCCGCTGTCGTGACGTCATCGCCTTATTTCTTTGTGGATTCTTAATTAACTATTAATTTTGAAAATGAAGACACCTCTACAGACAAAGTATTAATTAATGTGGCTGATGATGTGTCGTCAACTGCTGTACTTAATCGTTACGCGAATTAATTTTAATTAGTTTTAATTGATTTATTTAACTTAAGTTAATTTAAGCTATCTTTCCCCTCTGCTCTGCCAAGTGCCAACTTGACAGTGCATAGTTTCTGGTACAAGGTTACCTCTTTACAATACCTACCTTCAGCTAATGGTTTAGGTACTCACACTGGGTCCATTTTTTGACACTCTTAATTTAATTGTATTCTGTTATTTTCTTATATGCAACTGAGAAAATAAAAATGGCAGAAGGCAAAGGGAAACTCCTCGAGAAATTTCTAGAGGATTCCTTTAAGAATTTAGAGAAGACTAAACAGTAGGGGAGACCGGGGCAACTTCGGCATGCGGGGCAAGTTTGTCAAGCGCTTTTTTTTAAAAACAAATTAAAAGGAGACTTTGGTTATAGGTTAGGCAGTTGAGTTTTATTGGTGGCTTGTTGAGTGTAGTGTTTTTATTGTTCTCCAACAAGCGTAGTTGAATTATCAAGCAAATTTTCATTTTCGTTCAATTCCATATAATATTTTTTTTCCATTTATATTGAATTGGCAGGTTTTGTTATAATTCCATGATAACGAAAGTTACTTTTCCTGTTAGAAGGATGTAACTTCAACTTATTCACGTGGCCAGATCGTGGCTTGGCATTCTGTTCTCTGGGTTGTACTTAATGTTTCGAAATCATGACTAGCGGGGTAAGATCGGCAACATAAAGCCACATTAGAAGCAAAGAATAAAAATTAAATAGATGATAAATGAAAACATGTTTGCATTTGTTATTTATTTATATATGTCTTTGAACTTGCATTTCGTTGTAATAACATTAAATGGGTGTTGGATTTGTATTTCTTTGTTTTAATAGTGAATTCCAACTTATACATTGTTAATAACATAATTTTATATACGTGCCTATCTTGCCCCATTACTGTTGCCCCTATACCAGGGGCAACTTTAATAAAAATAATTAAAATAATTACAACTTTACAAAAAGAGAGAAGTTGCCGATCTTGCCCCTATACCCGGGGCAACTTCGTCAATTTCTCTCTTCTTGTAAAGTTGTAATTATTTTAATTATTTTTATTTCCAAACTGATTTTAACCAGTTCTATAGTAAGGTAACATTCCAATAGACAATATGCAAAGCTTTTTTTTCAGTTTACAGCAGTATTTATTACACAAAATTTAAGTAAATCATAACATGCTGATTTTGCCCCGGTTTCCCCTATATTGAAAACAATCTTAATGGTAGTCTGTCAACAAGAGCTCATAGAAAGCACATCTTAGAACAGATGACAAGAGTAATTCGCATGGCAGAGATAACCATAATGAAAATTCCTTCCACTCAGCTAACTGGAGATGAGTTAACTACACTGACGAAAACTGAGGAATTCACCAAGCTATTTGAAGCTTTTGAGAACAGAACTATGGAGGCACTTAGGAAGGTGGGAGAAGATATGGATGATATACGAAAAATTGTAGACAAAGAGTGAAATAATAAAGAAAAAGGGGATGAAATTAAACAGGAAATCGTGGAAGCGGTGAAAAAGAATAATGAAAGCATTACTACGGCTGTCTGTACAATCAAGGACAGACTGGATAACATTGGAGACAAGATGATTCAAAAGATACCTGCACCACTGTATAGTTTTATAGTTAAGAGGGGACCAAATAGAGAAAAACAAGCAGCTTCTAGACACACTTATCCACGTGAAGTTTTACTAGTATATGGCAATAACACAGACAACAGAGACAGTGAAACAGTTAAGAAACTATTACAAGAGAAAATAAAGCCGTCGGAAATAAACATTGGAGTTGAAAGACTTCGTAAGATTGGGGGAGGTGGCTCGGCCGTAGAACTAAGTGGTAATGGGGACTTTGCAACCTTAGAGAAATGCATAAAAGAGAACATTGCTGGTTTGACAGCACATACTCCTAAAAAGAGATGGCCGCACATGGTGCTGTTCTCGGTACACAAAGATATCACGAAAAAAGAATTACCATATCAATTATTCACACAGAATCACTTGATACAAGACAAGTATACTCAATAAGATTTTGAAAGACAATTTAGGGTTAAATTTCATTTGGGAAAGAAGGAGGCTACATACAAAAATTGGACAATAGAAATATCCCCTACTGTAAGAACATTATTGGACCTAGGAAAAGTAAACATAAACTGGTCGCGCTGATGGATCGCGGTACTTCTGTCCGGTCCTGCAGTGCTTTAGATGCTGTCTTTATGGTCACACTGCGAAAGAATGCTCACAAACCGAGTTTACTTGTAGTCAGTGCATGGGAAACCATCCCTTCTGTGAATGTCCCAAACGAAAGGAAGTGGCTACCTGTTGCAATTGCAAAGCTAATAAGGAAAAAGACAACGCAGAATGCACGTAACACCAAATGCCCAGTTTACCAACGTATTAAAAACAATATATTATCCAGAACCGACTATGGACATGAGTTATGAAAGAAAGATACGTATTTTGCAGTGCAACATCCAAAGAAGCATATCTGCAGCTTTTATTCTTGGTAATCATCTAAATAACTACGACTTGGTGTTACTACAGGAGCCATACTGTCGGTCTAATGCTCCTGCTTGTTTACCTACCTATTGCCCAATTCTCCAGGGTAGAAGAAAATACCCGTGGGCAGTCACCTTGGTGCCGAATGTTAACCTTCCGATCTTACATCATACTAAATTCAGCGACGAGTGTATTATTGTCACTGAACTCCTAAACAACGATGAGAGAGTTATTATAATAAATACATATTTCCCAGGGGAAATAGACAATGATAATTTTCTGGGGAAATTACAACACATCATAGACGCATTTCAAGAAGCACAAATAGTCTTGGCAGGTGACCTAAACGCCCACTCTCCTGCATGGGGTGGCAACCGTTTAGATGGCAGAGGAAGACAACTTGAGGAATTTCTGAATCAAAACGACCTCCTGCTACTAAACAACCCATTCTCACCCCTGACCTTCTGCTCACCTAGGGGAGAATCATGGATAGACGTAGCAATCTGCAGCTCTAGACTCTATGCAAAAATAACAAACTGGAGAGTACTGCCAGAGGAATCATTGAGTGATCATGCATATGTAACATTTAACTTAATTGGGAAAGGAAATGAAGACACAATATGAACACCCAAAAGCAAATACATAATAAGCAAGGAAACTGCATACAAATACAAGCTTTCTTAGAAAATAACCTTATTAAAGAATATGAAGGAAACCAACAAACTGCCTGAGACCAAATTGAACACAACATAACAATAATTACAAAGGCCTGTGAAACATATATTCCAAGAAAGACAATAAATAAAAGAAGTGCAGCGTGGTGGAGTCCAGAGTTAAGTAAATTGCTACGCAAGACCAGAAAACTAAGAAGTATCTATCAGAAATGCTGTGATGATAACACAAGAAGACAGCACAAGTAGGCGTACCTAGCCAGTCAAAAGATCTACAAGCAAACAATAAAAACAGAGAAAATACGCAGCTGGCAAGAGTTTTGCTCCAAGACATCGAACAATCCTTGGAGATGCCTGACTAAAATGTGATGCAATAAACTGCGCAAGACCAAAATACTTACCGAGACTCAAGACAACAACCAACCTCCATCTCTCATCCAAACAATGTTTCTACAGCTCAACACCTTTTGTCCAGAAGATGATTCTTCAACAGATTCTGAATGGCAACAACATCTTCGCTTTGAAATTGATAAATTAGAAAACACTGAGAACACGCCTCCATTTACTACGGAGGAACTACACTGGGCCTTCACAACTTTGGGCAAGCGCAAAGCGCCAGGAATAGATGATATAACTGCTGAATTAGCAAATGAACTATGGAAAAATATTCCCTCCCATCTAAATGACCTTTATAACACCTGCCTAACTTATTCTGTATTCCCCAAAGCTTGGAAGATGGCAAAGGTGATTCCAGTCCCTAAACCTGGATCAAAAACAGACAGCAGACCAATCTCCTTGTTATCGATAATGGGAAAAATTCTCGAGAAATTAATCACAAAAAGACTTACATGGCACATCGAGAAAAACAAATTTTTAAGCGACTCACAGTTCGGATTTAGACAGCAGAGATGGGCAGAAGATGCCATAGAAAAAACAGTCAACTACATACAACAACTACTACAAGATAAATATATCTTAGGGGTCAGCCTTGATATTTCCAAGGCATTTGATAGTGCTTGGTGGCCCCTAGTGACATATCAACTTCGTCAATTCAAATGCCCAAGAAACCTTCTAAGTCTCCTAACTAACTACTTTAAAGAAAGAGAAGCACTATTGCAATATGGACAACATACAGTTCAAAAGAAAATAAGCAGAGGATGTCTGCAGGGTTCAGTCTGCAGACCCCTCTTGTGGAACGTGATGTTTGACACGTTTTTAAAAAATAACTTTGGGCAAACACATTGCGTAGCTTACGAAGATGATGTGATCATGTTGCTGGAGGGAAGATCAAGGGCCGAATTAGAGACTAAAGGCAATTCACTTCTACAACGGATACACAGATGGGGAGAACAACATAAGCTCCAATTCAATACAAACAAGACAAGAGTTATAGTGTTCAATAAAGCGAGAAAAAGTAATCTATACCTCAGACCCCCTCATCTAAAGATGAATGGAAACAGTATAAAAGTTGATAAGACATTAAAATATTTAGGAGTAGTTCTCGATTTTAGGCTGTCCTGGGACAGCCATATAGAAAACATAACTGCACGCACCGGAATTATCTGTCAGGCCTTCGCCCAGATTGCCAAACAAAAATGGGGGTTTAACTCAAAAAGTTTATCGATCATCTACGACAGTATATATATTCCAACTATAACTTATGCCTGCGGAACATGGGGTTGGGCAACAGCCAAAGTACACCCCAAAAGGAAACTACTCTCATCACACAGGCGTGCCCTTTTGCTGATTTCAAGGGCATATCGCACTACTAGCAATGTGTGTTTACAAATAATCACCAGGAAACCGCCAATAGATCTCATCATCAACCAAAAGCAACTTACTAACAAACTCAAATAGGGAGAAAACATTCAAACCACCACTCGAAATATAAGACATCTAGACATTGAGTGGCCCTCTCACCTAGGTGAGACACTTCCGCCAGACAAATCCTTTTTCAACTTTGACAATAATACAAATTAAGACATTCTTCATGTATACACGGATGGATCGAGACATGACAATAAAGTTGGCTGCAGTTACGTGATATTCAAAGAAAAGAAGGAGATAAATCATCGAAAGTTCCGGCTACACAATGACTGCACAGTATTCCAAGCGGAGATGTGGGCGATATACATGGCAATAGAACATATCAACTCTACCTGCAATAACCAACATATAAAAATACACACAGATTCTCTCTCTGCTTTTAAGATCATAAAAAGTAGAAATGTACACCCATTAGCAGATAAAATAAGAAAAACCATATTTTCAGCTACGAACAAATTTGATATCCTCTGGGTAAGAGCACACCAAGGAGAAACGGAGAATGAGATAGCAGACTGCTTGGCAAAGGAGGCCGCAGAAGAAGAAACTCTTCCCATTTTTTACAGCAAGATAAGCAAACGTACACTTAACAATATTCTGTGGAAAGACACTATTCATCAATGGCAAACCAGATGGGATCAACACAGAGAACACATAACCTACAGCTTTGTCTCAAATTTGGAAAATTTTCTAGAAAATAAATGGTACAGTCCCAATTTTTACAACTCACAAATAATGGCAAATCATGGCAGATATGCCACTTATTTAGCAAGATTTACCAACGGAACTTCCAAGCTATGTCCAACCTGTGAAACGGAAGACGGGGCATTACACTATTTGTCACACTGTCCCATTCTAGGTCGAGAAAGACTGGAGCTTCAAATTCTACTACAGGAACAAGGGATAAGCTGGCCTTGTAAACCATCAGACATATGGTTGACTAAAGATGTATATAAGGCCTTTGAAAAGCTCAGTAAGCAAATAAGCTATGTGACATATAATCTAACCTATAGCTAAAAATACTTTGTTATATTTGTATCATTTTACTCTATTATCTAATGTATTTATAAACTTTGCTTGTTATTTAAATTATGTAAAGTATCTACCTAATAATTTTTATTACCAGCCATGTAAGTCCATGGCTGATGACCCATAATGTCTGTCAAGCTATCTTGCACGAGCAAGCCTGACGTGAGCATTGTACATATTTTATTGTTATATCCACTTATATCATGTTATTCACTATTTTATAATATTTTATTTTTCTGTAATCAATATATTTCTGCTTCTAACCCCTGGTAATGCCAAAAGCGGTACCAGGGTATGTACTTATATACTTTAGTACCAATAAAAATATAATGAATAAATGAATGAATGAGAGGAGAAACAGGATACTTGGAAAACTTTAAAAACCGCTTTAGAAGAATTAACCTTACAGGTAGCCGATATTAAGAGACAGCTACCTCAGGCCCAAATGAGAGGTACGGACAATAGACGAGATAATAGGCAAGATAGTAGGCCGAATATAAATTTCAGACGCGGCTATAATGCGACAAATTCTAGAAATACACAAGGGAGGAGACCGCCTGGTTTTGTCAATCCGAATCTTTATTTTCAGCCTAGGCCTGGTACAAATAGAGATGAGCGAAAAGAACCACTGCGAAATCGCTTACCTAACAGGCCCGATGTGCGAAATAATCAAGATAATGATAGAAATCTAGTCAGATTCAGGCAGCAGCAGCTTGATGGCCAATTTAGAGGAAATGTCCGAAGTGTAGAAGGACGGCGACGTTACATGCTGTATAGAAGGAAGCAAGACAGCTTAAACTTTGATATAAAAACAAAAACGAATTTAACAAGAAAAAGGAACGAAGTTAGGGAAGTTCCTAGTGAAGCGACTTTTAATTGTCTCATAGAAGGAATTCCTGCAACTATGCAAATCGATACAGGCGCAGAGGTATCTTTTATAGCCAGAAATTTCGTTGACAGGATAAAAGAAAAAGTGGCAGTCAAACATAACAACGAAACAGATCTTAGAAGCGCTACAGGACATCGTATTTATACATATGGTGTTTTGAAACCTACCTTTCAAATTGGCAACTTACGCTTCATATTCGCGTGTTGTATAGTAGACACCGATGTTACATACCCGTGTGATGGTATAATTGGAGAAGATATGATGTTAGAAAAAGGATTCCAGATTGACTTTCAAAGGGGATATTTAACAATCCCACCACAGACTAATATTTTCTTTATCGATACCTCTAAATATATAAGCAGCCAAAATGTTAATTAGATTCCGATAAAAAAGGGGCTAGAGCGTAAAATACGACCAAATAAAAAAAGAGGAAAAGAAGAAATGACACAAGCTTCAGAAAAACGTATTAGAGTAGAGCCAGAAATTGAAAGAGAAGTTACTGTCTTAGAAACATGTCATCTTCCACTTTTGGCTGAAAGCATGGTAACCGCTACGATTAAAAGTATTAAACGTAATAGCGGCATAGGCGTTATAGAACCCATTACTTTTCCACAGAAAGGAATTTATGGGGCTAACGTTTCAGTTTCACCTAACAAGAAGGGAAAAGTGCCCGTTCGATTTTGTAATACTACTTAAAAATCAATTAGACTAGATAAAGGTACTAAAGTGGGGACCTTCTTAAAAGCAATGGAGGATGATCATCAATTATTACCTAATAAAAAAGATGCAAGAGAGAAATTATCTAAAGCAGAATTTCGTCAACTATTCGAATGGACAGGAATAGGAAAAAAGGAGAAGAAAGCACTATTAGATTTATTATATAAGTATAAGTATGTCTTTACATTAAATGATTATGACTTAGGATATTGCGATATAGTAGAGCATGAAATTAACACAGGTGATGCCTCACCCATTTATTCACATCCGTATAGAATCCCATATGGACAAAGAGAAAAATTAAATAAGAGTGTACACAATTTATTAGAACATGACTTTATCGAATATTCGACTTCTCCTTGGAGCTCTCCTGCTTTGCTGGTAAGAAAACAGGATGGGGGAATCAGATTTGTGATATATTACCGTAAATTAAATAAGATTCCCAAAGTAGATCCATATCCCTTTCCCCTGGTACAAGAGTCCCTTAGTTTGAT